TCTCTATTTCTTTGAGTCTAAGCATTGTATAACATAGCTATTTGTTTACTTTCTGTATACAAGTCAATGCTTACAACATATACAACATTTGCCACATGTGTACTTTTAATGTTTGATACTCAAAAATTGAATAAAATATTTATCATACTATGAATTTATTCTTGTAATACTGTGACTTTACTACAATTTGGTTCTGCAAAATTATGACTCTAATATGTCTTTATCCTTATAATATATAGTGACTTTAATAACATTTAAATCTTGCAATATTAAGGCCTTAATACAACTTTATTCCTGCAAAATTATGACTCCTATACAGCTGTATTTTTGACTTAACAAAGACTTCAATTAAACAAGGTTATGACTCAAATTTGAGTTTATTTTTGTAATGTAAGGAATTAAATGTGACGAATTTTCACTTTACTCTTACTTTATCCTTATTGTATTGTTACCTGTAACATAACGGCCTGAATTTCTAACGACCTTTTTTTCTTCTTCTCTTTTTTTATTTTTATTTATTTATTTATTTTTGCAATTAACTTACTTATAAACATTTTTAGAAATAGCTAACTTATTAGTAATCACTTACATTCAGACTTCATTCTCTGAATTTTATTTAAGTTTCTGTAACGTGTCCCCGATACTGCGCTGTACTCACAGCATGGTATAGTTTCAACTTGTATTTGCAGTTGCAGGGATAAACTGTGTTTAAAGACAATAACCTTTGTATGAGATTCTCAGTGTTTGCGGTGATTTCCACTCCAGAGTCAGTTGTATTTCTCCAGTATCTTTTTGTGCAGGTATTTCTCAGTATTTCTCCCGAAATTCTTTGCAATTTTAAGCCGAGAAACATTTATGCGTTGTCAAATGTAAATGATTTGCAAACCAAGAAAGATGTAATGTCGCTTTGCTTATCGGTTATCCTGTGTTCAGTTACTTCTGTCTGGTTGCTATTGGTTGCACTGGGTTTGGGTCATGTGGGCGCTGTGTTTGAAAGCCGGTAAGTTATATAAGGGGCGGTCTCACCTGCACTGGGGTGGAGCCAAGGTAGCCGTAATTTTTGTTGACCGCGCTTTATGTTCTTTTTTGAACTGATGAATTGTTGGTGCTTCTTTGGAAGAGCAGCGGCGTGTCACACAAACATACAGGACCGAGTCTCTGCCTCAAGCGACTTTTTAAAAAGGTACTTGGAAAGCCGCAATAAAAGATTTCAACTTTCTAAAAAATTTCTGCTTCACATATCTCTACAGTTCGTTCCTTGTTTATTACCTGCCATGAGTAAACACTACCACCAGTCCTAATTCGTTAAATTTTTGGCAAACTGAAACAAGCTGAATGCAGAAAAGAGAGCTAACACACCAGCGATCTACTGTTTAATTCAGCCTTCAATGAATTTCTAATCGCCCGTGTGGCGCAAGAGTGTGATGGTTCGTCTCTGCGGCTGAAGCAGAGCAGGGAAATTGAGACTCCACCAACGCTCTCATTAGACGGTTCGTTCGGCTCACTTTCATTTCGATGAATCATGCATTCATCACGTCTCTGCAGCTGGGGAGAGATACTGAGGAAACATGATGGTAGCATTACAGTAAATTCTCAAGTCGGACGCTTCTACGCTCATGCATCTCAATCAGTTGCTTAATGATTGCAACAGTTAACCACGACCGAAAACCCTCGGCAACATCACAAGCAACCGTCATCAGCCGTCAACCCACGTCAAAAACAATGATGATAACGTCCAGCAGCAGCAACGTGACGCTTCGTGATCAAAACCAAATGACATCACAATGTCGGCGAAGCGAGCGGATAAAAGCATGCGCTCTGTTATTTTATACGACTAATGAGGCGGCGAGATCCTCTGTGAAAGGGCCCGCTAATTGTCATCCCTGGTGGATTGTTGTCAGGGTTTGCCTCGAGAGCCCAGATGCGTAAATCATCAGGACACGGTTACAGGCACTCAGATTAATGGAGGTTAATATGGGCGGGTGCGAAGACTTCCAGGAGATGGGTGGCGGTAATCGTTCGCGGTGGATGGAGGGTGAAAGCAGGGCTCCATCAGCTCAGTCAATGTGTGTAAAGTGAGATCTTGACTGGGAGGTGAGACACGGGGCGAGTTTATGATGGAGGACAAACTCTAAAATCACAATAATAATGAGAGGCACAACTTACTTCTTTTATCAAATAACTATGCTGGAAGAATTTTCAAAATAAAAGCATTGCATGAAAACAAAGGAAATTCTCTCCACAGGAAAAAGAAATTGCACTTTCGATTTGAGAAGCATTAAAAAGTGGGGTTTGCAGGATCTGAGGAAGGGCCAGTTTTTCTGAGAAATCTTGAATGTAAACTCTACCCCTACCAACCAGTGTTCCCCTCAGCTCCTCCTCTCCCCTCCCGCTCTGCTCCAGCAAGCCCCGCCCACACCACACAAAAAGATGCTTCTTTTACAGATTCCTGCCCACCCCACCTTTAAATTAGTGCATCATAATTTAGTTTTAATACCTGTGACATGAACTTAACTCATACAAAGCCAACACAGTCCTTTAGTAGGAATTTACCGTATTTTTCGGATTATAAGGGGCACTTAAAATCCTTACATTTTCTCAAAAATTGACAGTGCGCCTCATGTATGATTACGTGTTGTGCTTAGTGACCGATTTGACGTGGTACAATTCACTCAAAAATCTGTCGAAATGTGTAAGTACGACTTTGGTAAGCAACGAAGCCGCTCTGCTCAATGGATATTCTGAGCATTACGGTACACTGTAACTACAAGACTGCCTGACTGTTTTGTCCAAACTAAAAGTGCATTCACCTAAGTCAGCCTGGGCCTGGAGTACATGCTAGCAACAATAAACCATTTAGTGCTTAATGGTCCTTACAATCTGGTGCGATTTATGGTAAAATATGGTAAATAAAGTTAGCTGATACGAAGCCAACACAGACTTTTAGTGGGAATTTAGGTTGAGTCCAAATTTGCAATATGGCCACTAGCATGTTTAGGCTTTATAACACCAGAGGATCACATCACAGTGTCTGCATCCATGTTTGTTTCAGTCTGCGGGGGAACTCCACTCCACTTGACATCTGTCAGATTTATTTCAAATAAATGTAAATTGCAGCTCATTATTCCCCTGAAAGACTCCGGTTTGGTGCTGCTTGTGCGCTCATGTGCATCAACTTTGAGACAGCAGGGTAATGAATTCAGCCGATACAGCTACATTTGGATGGATAGCTGATTAAGAGAGTTGAAGGTGGGAGATGTTAAGGATGTGTGGTGGTTAATTTTGCATCACTGGCTTATTGATAGATTGGCTGACGGATGAAAAGGTTAGCATGTCTCACAGGCCCTTTATACACTCAGAAGTTTACAGTAGATACAGTCACTAATACTGTTTTTACCTTTCAAGACTTTTGTTTTGGAAGCCTGAGTCCCTGGAATTCAATCGTATCATTGTATTGTTTTTCCTCTCTCTGCAGAATAAACCTCAACAATGATCTGAAATCAACTCTGCATAGTTCTCATGAAACAGGAATCTACTGTAATTCCTTCACACGATGTCTGATCTGAGGTCGACCCCTCATAGACATTATATATGTAGACGTCTCAATACGTGCTGGAGCGTAATCCAGCGTCACCGCCATATTAGATGGGTCTTCTCACCCCAGGTGCTCGTATTTGTGCACTTTATGGTTGAAAAAACTGACGCAGTATTGAAACCAGATCATGTAGGATTATATTTCATGAGTAAGATTGAAATAATAGTAACCAGACTGTGTGAAAATCGGGAAGAAATTCGGAGAGTTATGATTAATGCTGCGTTCCAGTTGCCTCTGAAGTCAGATGTCAGAACTGGGAATGACGTTTTGGTATAAAAGTCGGAAAACCAAGATGAACACCTACAATTAGCCGTTGTTGAATGTTGTTAGCCCAGTTGTTGTTAGCTATACTAGTTGTAAACAACGTATAACACAGTCTTTTACTCTTACAAACACCATAGCACCGTGTTCACAGGTAGATGTTGGGCAGGACAAAATAAACCACTAATTTAATTTCACAAAAACAAAACAGAAGTGCTGAAAAAATAAACCATTATGAGAGCTTTCACTGTTACTCTTGATGCACTGCGCTGCCATCTTGGATTATGACGTTGTCGTCAAGTCGGGGTTGGTGAGGATCGTTCAACTTTCTGAGTCAGAAATCCAACTTCAGGGGGGGGTTCCAGATGAATTTCTGACTCGAAGCTTGGAAATCTCGACCTCAGAGAACAACTGGAATGTAGCGTAATAAGGTTGGGCATTCCTACCTACTTTAAAGCACTGGAGGTGTATGGGGGACCCATCCAAGATGGCGGCCGCACTGATACGTCATTTCTTGATGCAAATGCAATCAGACCGAGACACTAAGGCAGAAGAACTACCGTGTGTTCAGTGCAAAATGATTAATATGATGATTATTACTTTGAGGAAATGATAAAGAAATGATCATAAATGTTCTTCCTTGAGCTGCGTCACCCCACTGTAGTGCGTAATGGACTGGTCAAGGTCAAGGCGTTTTGGTTGAGGTTTGTTTATGGCTCCTCAGACCGCTGTGTATTGCTATCGTGCGGTCGTTACTAAAGTTGGTATAACTAGAGAAGCAAGCGGTCGACAACATTCATCTCTCGAGGGGGTGTCTAACTCCATGTTACGGTGTGTTTGACTCTAACTTTATTTTACGCTAGAATATCCCTTTAACACAAGGACAATCACTCATATGTTTAAACCGATCTGGTAATAAACCTCTGTCTGATCTTTTGGGTTGTAGTAAGAAGTTGAAGAGAAAAATGTTGTCGCTTTTACACTGAAGGAACAGGCAGTTTTACTGAAAAGTAGCTCACAGTGATTTTGCTAAACTTACAATCATTCAGTTAGATAAGACGGATCTCTCAGTTTCAAATCAGCTAATTAGATTTTTTTTTCTTCTGCTTCCCTCCCTTGTGTTTGCTCTTACAGTAGTCGAGGGATGGAGGGGTGGGGTCGGGGTGGAGAGTGGGCCCCTGCAGCAGCCACGGCATCGGGGGGACAGGAGGTGAAATGGAACCCACGCACTGAAAAGAAACGAGAGCCCCGAAGCGCACACTGGTCTTTCTTTTCCAGCCCATCACACCTGTTTACAAGAGGAAACGGTGATGTCACCCACTTCACACTTGCGGACAATGGTGGCTGGAAGAAAGCAACAGGTCATGAGGGGTGGTGGGAGGAGGGAGGAGGAGGGAGGAGGGCCTGAAGAAGCTCTCTGTTTTATTTACCATGGATACTATGTTTTGGCCTCTCGGGCTCCAGCACAATAACACTTGCGGGTTCAAGTTCCTGCCGTCCCCCTATTCTCTGTCTCCTTCCTTTAATTCTGCACCAGCCTCCCACTCATGCATCATATGGCCGGGGCTCAAAGACATGAATTTCCCATCTATTGAGACTTCTCTGTAATTACCTTGAGAGGAGGAGGAGGAGGAGGGGGAGGTGAAGAGGAGGGGGCCACATATTAAAAGTGCCTGAAAAAGAAATACTCTGCATTCTTCTATCACTCTTCACAAACGCAATAAAAGAATGAAGAGAGGGGAGGGGGAGGTGTCGGGTATGAGGGTACATAAAAATGGGGTGCGTTCCAGGAGAGTCGGTCCCCGGAGGGAATCTGAATAAATTAATCACAGCGATTGGCTTTCTTTTTTTTTTCTCACCTCCTCTCCTCCGCTAGGACGCCGTCATCTAATTGGGCCCTGCCTCGGCGCGGCGCTCCGATTGGCCGAGAGGGAATGTGAGAACCTGGAGACCCCGGCCAGCGAGGCTGACAGGGGCTCAAAGGGCAGCTTCTCCTCCCCGACTTGAATGGAGAGGAGCCGGGGAGGAAGAGGGGAGGCAGACCAGGGGGGGGACACTATTATACAGCTACTAATGGAGCGGCGGATTTGGAGTGGGATAATTAAAACCAATGGAGGAGGAAGGAGGAGGAGGAGGAGGAGGAGGAGGAGGAGGAGGGTGTATGTGTGTGTTTTCACGTGTGCATGTTCACATGTTTGTATGAGGGGAAGAAAGAGCGAGAGGCCATGAGAGGAGAAGCAGCGAGAAGAGGGAGAGAGAGAGAGGGTGAACCACACTAACAAAAGCAGGGATGTGTCCCCCTACACTCCCCACTCCCCCCCCGCCTGCTGTGGGCTCCCAATAGCCAGACATCTGCCTCATTATAGCCTGCACTTCACTGCACGCTGCCCATTGTCCGCAGCCTTTCTGTTTGTGCACACCATCCTGAGGCGTGCAGAAATAGCTGCACAGCCTCAATGTCTCCTCACACAGAGCGAGCGCCGGCCCGCAGGAAGTGTTTTGTTTCGAAAAAACCTGCCTTGAAATCAGCCACAGCGGAGGAGGGACAGCGATACCTGCCAGGCACTCACACAGCTTGTTCAAGACTTTTTCTCTTTTTTCCACTCTGACTCAGGTTCCCTCCGGTGTGTGTCGACTGAATCTGCAGGTTTCAATAAAGCTACAAACGCCACGCCTGACCCCATGATTTCAGTGGTTACACGCCGTAAAACAAGACAGGAAGGATGGAATCAGAAAATACCTGCTGTAGGGAAGAGAAAACTGAGAGGAGAGTTAAGAGACGTGTCGAGGGTTTGGGTACGAAAATTCATAACATGTCAGACTAGGGCTGTTGTCATATGATACTTATATCAGAAATCGGTCCAATATCAGTCCAATCGGCCCACATGATCACAACAACAGTGTGTACCATGGTACAAACAAATTAGCAAGAAGTAGGAGTGATGTCGGCAGTGTGGCAGTATTTTTCGTTAAAGTCCAAAAAAGACAAGACAAGAATATAGCTTTCCCGATATGATATTGATATCGGATGTTGATCCGATATCAGCCAAAAAACAAGTATCAGATTATATCGGCCTGCATCTAAAATCTCCAATGTCAGCAGTCCGATACAAGCAGTCCATTCCAGACTCCGGATCTGGCGTGCAGAGCCCATGTGATCACAACATCAGTGTGGACTAACCCGGGATTTCCACCCCATCTGGAATGGCAGCGATTTTTGCCGTACACCAATTCCTACAGGTGAATTTCATGGCGGATTACGGACAGCAGGAATCACAAGAACTCACAAGAACCCACGGATTCACGTGTAATCGCGCACTAACAAGTTGTCTTTAGCCACAGAGGCTAACCATATAATCAGTCGATTGTGTCCTTCCAGAGGAGGAAATCTACTTCTAGACTTGAAACACAGTGTTTTATTTTGAAAAGAAGTCGGATGTTTTATTTTGTGTCTGTGCCCGACTTCCTTTCCAGCACAGGTTAATCTTGGCTGAATTTATCCGGCATGCCCTGGTGTCCAGGAAAAATAGAACTCTTGCGATCAGCTGAGGAGTCCGGTCATTAACTTTGTTAACTAACATTGTTAACTTAACAATGGTAGTGATCAGCTATGACCGGCGGATACGGCCTTTTCGTAGCTGTTCCAGATGCAGTGGAAATTGAGGGTAAGGTACTAACAAAGTAGCATGGAGTAGGCGTGATGTCGGTTTTTTCGTTAAAGTCCGAAAAAGACATGACAGCTATGTGCAAAACTTCCGCTGATACTGAAGGGCACAATATCCGTATCGTATCAGAAGTAAGAAAGTTGTATCGGGACACCTTTATGTCAGACTACAGGGTTTACAGGGAGGTGATCTGCCAGATATGCAAATGCAGCTGAAAATAAGCAACAGTCAGAGAGGCTGGTGGCACATACACAGAGAAGTGCAGATGCAAACAAAGACAAAATATCCTATATGACACACTGGACCTGTATACTGTACGCCGTTTGTTTGGTTGCATCTCTTCCCGGAGGACAGTTTGCACCTTAAAGCTCTGGGGCCTCATGTATCAACACTTGCGTGGAACTTATACCAGAAACGAGCGCACGCAAGGTCCGTCACGCTGAAAAAAATCCGTATGTATCAATGTGTGCGGGCGCCGAAATCCACGTGTGTTTCCTTGATAAATCCCAATCAGCGTGGAATTGAGCGCAGATGTCGGAGTGACTGGGCCCGTCCCCGTTACGCCCTCCTATAAATATGCAGATTTATTTAAATAGGGTCTCCCTGTCCTCGCACGCAGACAAAATGACAAGAAAAACTACATTTACGGCGTGCGAGGTGGAGGTGCTGGTGGCGGAGGTGGAGGAGCGACAGCGTGTTTTGTTTGGCAGCGTGTCCAGTGGCGTCAGTGCAAAACAAAAACGCTTGGAGTGGGAGAAATTTTGCGAGAGGGTGAATGCGGTGGGTTCCGAGACACGCACCCCCGCGGAGATTAAAAAAAAGTGGTCGGACCTCAAGGTGGAGGTCAAGCGGCGTACAGCTGCCCTCCGGAGGAGTACCGGCCAGACAGGTGGGGGTCCGGGGGAGGAGACCCTCACACCGTTTGAGCAGCGGGTGGTGGCGATTATTATTATAGGGTAAGTGGCGTGTCACACAAATGTCCACATGCTTTGTCATCCCACTGAGCAAAAGACGTATATTAGACGTCTAGTCTAAGTTTATACTTCATTTCAACGTCGGGATTCAGTCTATTTTTAGACGTGATTTATACTTCGCCCTTAACTTCATTTTTCGATAACTTTTTATGCAATAAACAACTGTAATGTGCATAACTGACCTCTAAATACTGGATTACATTACCTATGATACCGTGGAGAGAGATGTAAACGCAACAGATACACAGAAGCAGGAATTGAAATGAACTAATATTTTTATTGTGTCACAGAAATTAATGTGTCGGCCGTGTCGCCGGCTTGCGGAACCCTGGCCCGCGGCAGCCCGTCCGCCGGCTCGGAGTCGTCGGCCAGGACCAGCGGCATTCGGGCCACCCCGGCCCCCGGCCCCAGCACCAGCATCAGCACCAGCGCGCCGACAAGCGGTGGAGCGTCCACCAGCCGCGGCGCTTCCGCTGGACCACCCGGACGCAGTGGAAGGGTCCTCGCGGAGGGGGTCCTGCAATCGCAGGAAGAAATCATCAGGGGGATCGCGGGGATCAACGAGCGGCTGGACCGGCTCGTAAATTTCCTCGAGCGTCTGGTGGAGAAAATAAATTAATTTGGCTCATTGAACTGTGTATTCACTTCTTACCCATTCACACTGTGGCGATGAGATTCTCCCGCGCGAGGACGGCGGCCCGGCAGGGATCAGCTCGCATCCCTCCGTCTGCTGCTGGTTCGTCATGTGGGGCGACGTGCTGCCCGGCCACGGGGATGTGGTGCACGCTGGTCACATAGTGAGTCACCAAACACCGCCACACAGCGTCGCCAAAGTGCGAATCACAGTCAACGCAAATATCCAGCTCAACGCCAATTTCTACACCACCTCCTGACTTTGCGTTGATTAGCGCTGGAACCGACGCTCGTTTCGCGATGATAAATCTGGACGTGTGCGCCGATTTTGGCGTACGCAAGGTTTTCTTGCGCCGCAAGCGTTGATACATGAGGCCCCTGGTGAGGAACTTTCAGATTGATGATAATGGGAACTCCTGTGGACAAGGCGGCTCCCTAATCTCTCAGTGCAGATTATGAACTCAATTTAAAACAAAGGAATTCACTTTTAAATCACTTTAAGCCAAATAATTCAGAAGCACTTTTACAATCAGATAAAAAACACTTCTTAATCTTGTCAGACAGAGCGTGCTCGGAGAAACTAGTTTCAAAGAAAAAGAAAAAGAAGAAGCGTTTGATCTTTCGGGTCACAATAATAGAAGAAGACTTGACATCCTGGAGGGACTGACTTAGAATTAAGTCAAAATCTTAAATATTCAGAAAAATCACCCTGTGGTGTCCGCTTCAGCTGCAGCACTTTTGATTCACACAAAAGTTACAAACTTAGCTTTCTATCGGCTTCTGCCGCAGCTGCCTCAGATTTTTAGACTTCATGAGAGAATCGGCTTTTAAAAGAGACGCAGAGACACAGACAGCTTTTACAGCCAACACTACCGGAACATATGGAGAGAGAGGGAACAGATCATTTTTTCATGGACAGAGTTTTAGCAGGATTTTTAAGGCCAACTTATTCTGTTACGAATCGAAATGTTGGGGTAGGAAGCATTACCACAACCTGTGAATGAAAATAACTTTCTTGCTCTGTCCCTGTTTTTCCATTTTTTCCTTCTTGAAGTAACTTAGATAAAAACTTAAAGCGCTTGTTTTCCTTTTTGTAGAGGAGCAGCTGATGCCAGAAAACCTCTTCACTGGGTTTTGACCCCTGTAGAGGACCTGCAGCCTCTCAGTTTCTAACCACCCTATGCATGCGTTGACCTAAGTGGGTGGCGATGTTATGTTAATGAGGCTTGGTGCTGATTGGCTGTGAAGGCCGGCGATCCACAGCGGAACGGAAAGAAGCCTGTGGAAATTGACACATTGACTTGAATGGTTACTATCAGCTACACTCGGCAGTTACTGCCTTTTCGTAGCCGTCCTGGATGTGGTGGAAATTGCCAGTTTGGCTCTCAACTTGATGCTATTTGCATCTTATACGGCAACATTAGTGTGAAGAAGAAAATGTGTGTTTTGATATGATGTTGATATCGGTTATTGGTCCAATATCAGCCAAAAAACAAATATCGGATTATATCAGTCTGCATCTAAAATCTCCGATATCAGCCCTCCAATACAAGCAGTCCATTCCAGACACCACAAGGACCTAGCTAGCAGCGCCCGGATCCAGCATGCAGAGCCCACGTGATCACAACATCAGTGTGTACTAAGGTACGAACAAAGTAGAGAGGAGTAGGAGTGATGTCGAAGGCTACAATATCGGTATCGTATCAAAAGTTAAAAAGTTGTATCAGGACACCCCTACACAAGAATCATATCGCTCATTTCTTATAAAAGAACTAAACCTTGTGCAGAAAACTTTAGGGTTGATGGATTACCTCCGCAGATAGATCTTTCTTGGTTTTAAGACAACATAGGAATTACTCAACCCTCAACTTCCTGCAAACTATTTCTGATGAGTTAACGTTAAAAAGAAACTACCTTAAGTCTTCTTGGGGCGTACTCAAGTTTCTATCAACTAAAAAAAGAGATGCACTTCTCTATTTGTGTTCTTTCCTTAAATAATGGCGACAAAAGAGCCGAATCCTGGGTTCAAGTGACATCACCATGGTAACATCCACCTCCTTTATACAGTCAGTCAATGTATGTGCAGCCCGAGTGCATTCATAAGATTAGTTCTACTACAGTGGCCGAGGTTCAGTCAAAGAGGAGTATAGGAGCTTACTCCAGACTCTAACTTTCATAACAAGCTCTGACAAGATAATCTGACTGACTTTTGCTAATTCTCTGCACTAATTACTTCTGCAGGGTTGGTGTGTTAGAGGTGTTAATGCATTTGGCTAATTAATCACTGCAGACAGCTCCCGTGCTGCTCGGCCTGCTGCACGTATACAAGACGGAGAGAGACATATGGGAGATGATGACGACCGAGGGAGAGAGAGAGAGAGAGGGGAAAATGAGGAGAACCATCCTCGACACTGTGTATTTCCTAACCTTTTATATATCGTTTCATCTTCGGGGTCTACAGCGGCTCAGAGGGCGAGGAAATACTGGACCTGACACCTTTCCTTTGATGCCGTCTTTTGATGAGAGCAGGCCTTTCATGTGAATATTAAAACAAGAGGAAATGAGTCATTCCTATTTCACCGCTTCTCTCCATTTTTATCTTGGCTATACTTGGGTTTCTGACAACAGATGGCACATGAAGAGAGGGACCGAAAATACTTCCTTTTAACAGTATCGTCCACGTAGAAGGATGCGAGATTTACCATCAATGCCACCAACCTATCAAACCTCTGAACCGCAGTGTAGGGAATGCAAGCACCCTCACAAAAAGGTAAATAAATAAAAGCACCAAGACGACCCTCGCCTGCTTGCACATACCAAACGGGCACTTAGTTTCAAAGTAGCGCTGCCCACCACGGCCCGCATACTTTCATATAACGCGCTCCCTTTCTCCTCGGGGCCTGAGGTGAATGTGGCCTTTGAGAGTGGAGGGAAAGCAAACATGTAGCCGGCAGCTCTCGCCTGGGAAAAGAACATCCAAACTGAGTGGGCTGTCTTCAGGGCGACAGCCTGAGCAAACAACCTGAGAGGGCTTCATGAGAGTGGGGGGGCCGCTGCATGACTGAGGGGCTTCATGGAGCCAGCCGGGGTCCTACCTTTCATACAACAGGGGCTTTTTACCGTTAACAGGCCGCCATGAGGTTAGAGATGGCGAGATATGAACCGACAAATTCACTGATAATTCATAACTGCAACTAACTTAAGCTCTCCTCAGTCGCTTCTTTTGTTGCCAAGACGAGAGATAAATCCAAACATTAAGACCTGGACATACCTGCAGGAACCTCCCTGACAATGTCTGAAAATTTACTTTCTTGGTTTTGATTTAGGAGGCTCATTTTCTAGTCATTTTAAAGCCTTACGTGTTTTTTTCAGTTTGTGTCAACTTTGGCGCCCCCTGTGGACAAACAAAACTTTGCTTAACTTGTCCTTCGTATGCAAAAGTAGTATCTTTGTAAAAATACAATCATTTTTCTGACTTTTAACGAAGTTTTCGGAGGCTCATTTTCTAGCTATCTTAAAGCTTTAAGGTTTTTTTTTCAATTTGTGTCAACTTTGGCGCCCCCTGTGGACAAAGCACTATTTGCTTAACTTGTCCTATGTGTCCGTTAGTAGTATCTTCGAAAAATATATTTATATATAATTTTTCTGACTTTTTTTCAAAGTTTTAGGAGGTTCATTTTCTAGTCATTTTTCAATTTGTGTCAACTTTGGTGCCCCCTGTGGACAAAGCAATCTTTGTGTAACTTGTCCTAAGAATGCGTTAAGTATCTTTTTTTACGGAGGCTCATTTTAAAGCTTTAAAAGGTTGTTTTTTTCTGGTTATGTCAACTTTGGCGCCCCCTGTGGACAAAGCAGTCTTTGCTTTTCTTGTCCCCAACATGCGTAAGTATTATCCTTGTTAAAAGTCAGAAAAAAAATTCTTTTTCCAGAGTTTTTTTTAAATTATTTTTATTTTGGTACACTCTCTCCACCCCCTTGTTTGTTTTTTATCATTAGTGTTTCATCACTACGGTACGAACCCTGACAGAAGGGCGCTAAAAAAGTAGGACGGTACAACTATTTTGGTTCCTTCCCAAACTTTTTCAATGAAAATGAAAATATTTGCAAACTAAATCCAGACTGCTCTGTGAAAATGCAGCTTATGTGGTCTGACAACAGCGGAGGAGGCTTTTAAATGTTTCAGACAAGCTGAAATGAGGGTTTCAGGGACAGTAGTCAGTACTGTGGTGAACCAGACCGCTTGATGGAAATGCAGCTTTGGTGTACTGGCAACAGTGGAGGGGGATTCTGAAGAGCCAGCAGTTAGTAAAGGGTTTTAAATCTTTAAAGAAAAATTAGTTGCATGAGATTTTAGAGTTTTAGAGATAAATGAAACCTAAAAATGAAAATAAAACTTCATCTTTAACCGAACAGTTCTGTATTTACGGTGTTGACTTTGTGGTGGAAACACAAACATCTCTAGTTTTGATTGTATTTTACAAACTGTGAGTCCAGTGAAAGGTCATTTTTTAAAAATCAGAATCCTTTCAAAAACCAACATCGAGAATTACGTAAATACAGTCCGTCTACCAATCACAGCGTCTGATGTGGTAAAGAGATTCATGAGCTCCAAACTTAAATAAATATAACTATTTTACTGACCTCAGAAGGGTCCAAATTAAAGTTTCCTTTGGAGCCTGACTTTGTTAAAGGAAAGGAAACCAAACAGGAACTTAATTTACCAATGTGTTTGATCGATGGTCTTGAAGACAAGCAAAAGCATCCAAAGTCTACATCAGAACCTAACACAGGTGTAGATTAAATCTACATAATTTAGTGTCGTAGATGCAGCTATCTGTGATTTCTACCTCACTTTAAACTTTTCTGTGGCTTCAAACTAAGAGAAGAACTTTTTCTCCTGGGGCTATAAAAATAATGGGGAATTTGGATCATTATTTGTGAAACTACCCAAACTTCAGGTAATGACTTCTTCTTAACTATAGGAATCTTGAAATAAGGCTCCTGCCTTGGGCCAGAATCATAACACATTTTTCATGCCATGTGGGGACTGAATGGAAGTAGGTCAATACCTCATTTTGAGCCCCAACCCATAATTCACCAGAAACTCTGAAGACTTGAAGAAAAGAAAAGGAAAAAAGAAAAACTTCTTCACATAATCTGACTCAACAATCAGCGCTGTCTGCATCCCAGGTAGGTGGATAATGTTCATGAACGTACAGAGACAGGACAGGTTGAGTAAACAGTACCGTTCCTTAATTTGCCTATCAAAGAACAAGTGAAGAGGTCTAAGAGGGGGGCGGTTGGGGGGCTGCGAGTGGTAGCAGGGGGTTTACCGGCTTGTTTATCCAGCATCCTCAAGTCGTGACTACTGTTCACACAGCCAGGATCAGAGCCCACAGATCCCAGCTTTGAGTGTTTAGCCCGTGGATTAGCTATTGTGACGGGCTAGCATGATTACCCCCAACCTCCATCAATGGCCATCCCAACCACTCTAGCAAGTCCAGCAAGGGGGTCCAAGCCCAGTGTGGACTTGGAATACGGGAGGGTTTCCCAGAATAAGTCTGTTAAAGTGAGTTTAGCAATCGTAGAAGTTGGTATGTTATCAGGTATCTGTTTCAGGAAGCGTTTCTTAAGGATCCCTAAAAAAAGAGTACAGATTCGTCCAGGTTTGATGGATAAAGTGCTGCTCCTTAAGGTGTTCCCACAGAAAGTAACTCCCACTAAAACTACGATTATTTGTTTCGGAATTATCTGCAAGTACGAAGTCACTCAGAAGGAACTTAAAGGGATATTCCGGCGTAAAATCGATTTAGGGCCAAACAGATTGTAGCACCGAGTTAGACACCCCCTCGAGAGATGAATGTTGCCGACCGCTTGCTTCTCTAGTTATACCAACTTTAGAAACGACCACAGATAGCAATACACAGCGGTCAGAGGAGCCATAAACAATCCTTGACCAAAACGCCACTCTATAGCCATAGATGCTATAGCTTTTTTTGCTAACAAATGCAGGAAATAGCAGAAGCCTCTAACCTGAGCATTCTCCTCCCAGTTAACCAGTCCTATAAATCTACCAAAGCTCATATCCTGTTGGAGTTTGTAGTTACTTTTGCCTGTTTTCTTCACTTTGGTTGAAGTCTCTTACTTCTTGTGGATTGATTTGATATGTCTTGTATGATCTGATTGGTCACAACCCCTCATTAACAACAGTGATTAAATTCCAGGGACAATCAGAATCAAGTGTTCCACACAGCTTGGTAAGAAATAATAAATTTATTCCAAAGATGGAATTTGCTTTGCTCCAATAATAACATCTTTATTCATTTAAGTGTTTTAGACTTGGAAGTAGCTGAAGAGTCAAAACTTCTCACAGCAACTCAAAGTCCAATTATAGAGAAGATGTCGAATTTCATGGTTGTGGTTTTGAATCAAGCTACAGATGGAAACTCCCTTTCCTCCTTAAAAAGAAGAAGAAGACATTACTAATTAGAATTTAATTAATTTTCTGTTCCCATGGCGAGCCTCTGTACATCGTCTCTTTCCCACAGCATGCCGCTAATGCCACATAGCTCCAGTGCTGAGGTGATGGCCTGCCTCAGCACCGGGGGCAAACAGATGGTCGTCAACAGCTCAGGAGAGACATCTTTGACCAGGCAGCAGCGCCAAGAGCTGCCAACAAAAGGCTCTCCAGTCCAAGGACCCGGAGAGGAAACAATGGGCCAAAAGCAGAGTGAGTCAGTCCTCATTCACTCAGCAGCTGGCTGAGAACCAACAGGTCGGCATAGACGGCACTCAGCATTGACAACAAGAGGGAAACCTCACCACAACCAGGAGGAGAGGGACAACTTGTCGGCAAATGATCAAAATCATCAGAGAGCCAATCAGTGATGAGTGTAATCCCAAACCTCTTTGTTGGCTCGCCGTTTTTGTTGGAACACCTGTTTGACACCTTGAACACTTTGATCGCCGGGTCTCTTACCTCGTGAAGAGATTTCTGTTTCTTAAAGGTTTATTTCACTTCTGATGGATCGCACATAGCTAAGGAAGAGGCGGAGCTGGGTAGAAAGATTGCCACACACATCTCTTAAGCAAATCCTCACGGACCCCAAGAATGCAGAACTTTACTTTGTTAAAAAGAAATTAATTAAAAAGATCTGACTGTAGTAAAATCGAGCATTTTTACACAGGATGTAGCAGCGTTCGACTCTTCTGCTGCGTTCCAGTTGTACTCTGAAGTCGGGATATCTGAGCTACGAGTCGGAAAGGAGGACAATCCTTACCAACCCTGATGTGACGACATTCTTATAATCCAAGATGGCAGCACAATGCATCACTAGTAAAGAGTAACCCGGAGATCCCACTGGATCCAGAATGGCTCCACTCCAGACGATAGGCAGATCAAATACAAGCATGCAGCACCCACCAGAACCGATCCGCCGCCGCCATCGGAGAAGAAGCACTTGCGAGATTACTGAAATTTCTCGCGAGACTGGACGAGGGCTTGTGTTTCCCCGGGAGTCATAGAATGAGATCCGCTGAATGATGTAAATAAACGGCGGTGTATATTAACACCCACATCCCACAACTCTGGCCTCTCCTATTATCAAGTTAAGAACAGTTATTTTGAAAATTAACTACTTTACTCTGTAACCGCATACAACTTCCGCTGCACTAAATTGATGGCTGTGCTCCGGCGTCCTGCAAAAATAGAAGCTTTGCGTATCTAATCCGACTGCCGGAGCCCATCCGCAGCAGAGCTGAATGGCGGACGGATTCTGTGGAATCGCACACATTGATTATAATGCTTGAATACTTGATCCGCCTGCCGTGCCGGAGCGCAGCCGTTCCGGATCCTGTGGGTTTTGCCCATAACAGTAAAAGCTCTCTTAATGTTTTATTTATTAGCACTTCTGTTTTGTTTTTGTGAAATTGAATAAGTGGTTTTATGTTGTTCTGCCCAAAGTCTAACGGTGAACACAGTGCTATGGTTTTTGTAAGAGAAAATACTGCGTAATGTGTTGTTTACAACTGGTATAGCTAACAACAACTAGCAACAACTGACAACAGCAAACAACAGCTGACAACAGCTAACAACGGCTAACAGTAGGCATCCATCTTGGTTTTGTGACTTGTTAACTGGAACACCGTCAACTTGATGGTAACGTCATTCCCAGCTGCAACATCCAACTTCCTACTTTATTTAGCGAAAGCCCCAAGTGGCCACTCAAGGTACTGCAGTTTTTGGCACCTCTGCTCTTGTACGTCAATATTTATGTAAATAAGAGCAGAAATTGTTCAATTTAGAAACCTTCCATCTCGACAGTGTTTCAACCGTCTGTTTTGCACATGCAGCTGTGAAATATGCCAACGTTTACATGCCACAAGTACCAGTGGAAAGAGCCACCTTGTAAATATTTAAGGGGGACTGTTAATTGTAATATGCTTTACAGAGAGATGTGATTTAACTGCCAGTATCGCTGTCTCGCCGTCTAACGACATCTCTGCCTATCTGGCCAGCGGTCTGTGCGTCTCACTCTCTGCGAGACGGAGCAGCCTGACACAGCCCTGTTAAAGTTAATAGCTCTCCACAAGCACAGAAGCCCAGACAGGCCAACACCAATAAAACTCAAGCAAATTATATCAGAGAGAAAGAGGCACCGAGGAGTCATTTTGTTATTGGGTTCAGCATTCCTCAGCGTAGGAGCAGGACTATTGCGTCACGCAGGAATAACTTTGGAGCGGCGTAAAACTGATGTCGGCGGCGGGCTTGAATATTCACACTGAGTCTTGGCATGGCGGAGACATTGTGGAGGCCTGGTGAGAGGGTGAAAAGTGTCCTGGCAAAGCTCCTGTCCTCTTAGCCTCTGTCATACACCGTGAGCTGTGGCCGACTGCCACGGTTAGACATCTGGACGCTTACTTCCCTCTGAAATACAGTAACTAACACTCAGCAGAACGCCGAGGTGAAAACAGCATCACAGTTACCGTAACAGAGGATTTTTCATTAATGATGAAAATAGCTGTACTCAACACATTTCTAACACCGCCGCGGTTACAGTGAAAGCTGAGAACGTGTGGAAACCTCTAACTGAAAACAGACTCGGAGAAGTTTGAGCATCTTGTGAGAAAATTTTTGCTCATTTTTAATTTTGTGTTAATAAAAATGATGATGATGGAGAAAACGAGAAAACACCTGAAGGAACATCTCTGTATAATTTCATTAACTTGCATTAGGACAGTGACATAACAGGGCAAAAAAAGGGAACTCTAGAGAAGTTGAAGCCCAAAAACCAACAGGATGCATGTTAGACGCGTTCTGTCAGCGCCACACGCTACGCAGAAAATACAGTCCCATTCTAAATCAACCTTGCATCGCACAGAACAATCCCAGTCTATCCCTGCTCCACGTGGACCACAACCGGACTTTTAACTGCGAACTACAGCAAAGCAAAGTGGGACACATTTGTCTTTACTAAACACGAGTAAACCTGCAAAATTAGGAACTTTAAAGTCATGTTGTTTGTTTGTTCACATACAGAAGAAGCTCAACAGTCACAGAATAAAATCCAGATTAGCAGGAAATTGACCACAGAAAGGTAAAATGACCTGTTGTTAGCATGTTGTTTTCCGTTTACTGAGTCCAGCTGACTGAAGCTGCGTTACGCTGCTGCTAAGCTCCAAACACACTTCCCGAGGGCGATGATGCACACTGTCTGATGCAGGAGAATTCATGAACTACACTTCATATTATCATTAAAAGATTCAGAGAATCTGCTGGAATCTCTTTAAAAAAACAAAAACAGCATTAACTTGTTTTTGCTGATGGATCAAATGGCAGATTTTTTCTACTGACGGTGTAGGGACCAGATCGGCTCGGGGCCCAGCGCCGTTTAAAGACGTCACACTACGGCAAGTCTACTAAGACAAACTACATTACGCTTCATTTAATAAGTCAAATATGGAGAATTATGACCTTCTGTACTGTGATTTTAATCGTATATGTAAACTTTTCTGAAGGAAAAAGAAAAATATATATACGCAGGATCTCCGTTTATCAATAGATAGTTTTGCTTTTATTTCACATTTCCTTTGGCGACCTCAAAGAGGCGATAGTTCGGCTGTCGTAAATCATCTTTGATAAGCAGCGATAGATTTCTTCGTAAAATTAATCCATGTTTTCTCCTAAGAACTACAATCACATTAAACCGCTTCCGTAATGTCCGGACTAACCATAATCTTCTACGTCATCCGAACCAACAACCAACCAATGAAAAAAGTTCTCTTTAGTTATGTGTGAGTGTGCATGATGGAGAGCTTGGTGGTGGTCCCGGTCTGGAACATTTGGCCCCTGCAGGGTTGAAGTGAAGCCGGATTGCGAGAAGACAGTGATGAGCGTATCCTAAACTCTAACATCAACTCAACTTTCTATGAATCGTTGTGATCCAGAAGAAAAGTCAAACATTAAAACAGGCGACCACAACACTTCTTTGTACGACTGCAAATGAGACGGATGGAGAGTCAATGAGAAGAGGTTCATATTGGACTGTCTGGACTGGTCGGACTGGGACCAACATTAGTCAGTGATGGGACAAATATCACTGTGATCCAGGAGCGTTCGAACCATCAGAGATAAGAGCTGAACGGTCAGAGTGGAGCTTTATTCTGCTGACAGGACAGGGAGGCAGACTGGTTGAACTGTGGTTAACTCCACTCGGGTGGTGCTCGTTATAAACACATGACTTATTCACAGCTACTATTGGACCCCGCTCTCTGTGTAATGGGAGCTCACTGCTCAACCAGACCCAAATCCCCGGGCACTGCCTCTGCCAAGCAGTGTAAATATTTAGGGTCACCCGTCGCACAATGGAAAATGAAAGCCATGACTCTGACTGAGTGTGTGTCTGAGTGTGTGACTCAGAACATCGTGTTTGTGTGTGTCTGCATTTGCAGGTTCTGGATTACAGAAAGTGTTTGTATGAAACTCGGATTCTTCTCTTTTTAAACGGCTCGGTTCCCTCCTGAGGCCGGGGTCTCTGACAGGAGGCAGAAAAGCGTTATCTGTGATGTGGAGGCCGCGGCATTCAGGGCACCACATTAATCACAGCTGGAGAAAAAAGCCTCTGTGCTCAACATAAACACCATCCTGCAGAGACAGAACTGAGCCAGACCAGAGGAGCAGGACTCGCCTTAACCGTGTCCGTCAGCAGCCGTACTCTTTTAATACTTCTTCATATTTGTTTCACAGAAAGTGTCGCCAGTATATTCTTTTTTGATATTATGAAACTGGAGATAAAGTGTCAGATAAAAAGAAAAAGAGCGAGTAGATTTAGTTTAAATTCAGAGTTTTGAAGCAAAAGTTAGAAATATGACTTTAAAATGGTTTTCTAACTTTAATATCAGGATTCAGAAAAGTCAGACCTTCAAAATTTTGGTATTTTGACTTTTAATCTCATCTCCTCTTTCTCCATCTCCCCCTCTCTCTCCTCTCTAAACCTCAGTTCAGTCTCAGCAGATGATTGTCCAACATCAGTCTGGTTCTGTTCAGGGTTTCTGCCTGTTAAAGGAAGTTCTTCCTCTCCACTGTCACCTGATAAATGCTGCAAAGAGCTTCACTCATGTGGTTGAAAATGGGAGTGGGTCTGAATTTATCAACATGGGGCTCAAAGTTGTTTATTTAATTCTTAAGTGTCTTGGAATAACAATTCAATCACTATTCTGTAAGGGTGGAAGAAAAAGTCAATTCACATAAGAATCGCAATTTTTGGTTTACAATTTTTAAATCAATTTTTTTTTTTCAAAACTCAATTTTTTATTTTTTCAAATTTAGGAATAAATCTTAAAAACTGATTTACATGTGATGTGTATTTTGGGGGGAAATATGGTTCCTAGTATGGTCAGTCAACAATCATAATCATTCAACTGTTTCATTGGTGTTAAAAATGCAGACCGAATATCCAGAAAATCGACAATATCATTAAATTGAATTGGCATCCAAAAAATTGTAGAAGAATCAAATTCAGAAAAAAGCAAATCGTCCCAGCCCTACAATTCTGACAAATAATCCCAGATTTTTGGGGTTTTGAATCAGAAATTTGTGGATAAATCTCAAAAATTATGAATATTAAAAAGTCTGATTTCATCCATAGAAAACTTTCTCTCTTAAAATTATGACTTCCCTTTTAAAATCTAAAAAAAAAAAGTCAGAAATGTACTTTAAAAAGGAAGAAACTTTGGGAAGGAAAAAGTCTGAGTTAAAAAAATGAAAATCTGAAGGGGAACAAAAAAGTCTTAATTCTGACTGTAATCTCTGAATTTTGACTTTTTCCTACAAACTCTGACTTTAATCTCAGATTTGAGGAAAAAAAAGTCACATTAAAAAAATACTATGACCTTACATTACCTTTTTAAAGAGTGAATCCTTTCTCTGTTTGAGGATTGTTTTCACTTTTTAAATCCACCAAGTTTGGATCTCAAAAAATGAAGTTATACACACCTGAGAGTTAAAAAGTGTAGGTATAGCTTCAGGGAACATAGATGGATATAAAAAGAGATAATACTGCATCATCTGCATATAAAATAACCAGACTGATGTATACTCCATACTCGAAGGTTTTAGCTCCTCAAAGTCCACTCCGCTGATAAGAACAGGTCTAACTGTGAAAGGCCAAGTGAGGAAATGACTGAAAAATGCATCATGAGGTTAAAACAGTTCAGAGATTTGATACATCAGAACGCATAAAACAGGATTTCTGTCTTTATGTGAGGGGAGGGTCAGTGATTCAGAATAAAAAGAAATCCTGTGTTGTTAGGAAACACGACTACACTAGGTGCATTTACAGGCACTTTGAAAAGAGCCTCAGAGAGCCTGCGACGAAAGGAAAACTCGGCAGAGACATGGGGGGGATAAATATAACTTTGTGTGTGTGGCCTGTGGTGGATACTCTGCCGCCGAGCACACAGCCTATAGGACAGAAAAGGCGGCTTTGACCCCCCAAGAAGTCTCAACTCATAACGTTATCATCACTCAGAGCGAGGACAAGGTTTCCGCCCCGGGTTCGAAACATATTAAACTGTATAAATAAACTGCTGGATAAATACCCGTGTATGTCGCCTGTGGGGCTCACTATGACTGGCCTGTATTCAGCTCGTACTCTGACAGGGCTCTTTGTGCTCTCTCTTCACCCCGTCATAAATATATACCTGCTCTGTTGTGACATGTACATTCGTATTAGACAGACAGAGAAGAAGAAGAAGAAGAAGAAAGGTAACTTGTGCTCCTAACTAGGTAAGAAAAAATATAACAAAACTTCATCTCTCAAAGTTTAAAAGATGCCCAACAAGAGTCGTTCAAACAACTCCGACCAAAAACGTTTTACTCAGCACAGAGAAAGACCCTTTTTTTTTGTGAATGAGCAGAATCAGGTCATCCCACGTTAGAGTCTTTGTCAGCAGCTTCTTCAAACGAGCTTCTTCTTCAGCTGTCAGCAGCTCTCATGAGTTTTAGAGTGTGTTAGCGAAAAGACAGAGAAGAGTTCGGCTGTATAGTGGTCCCGTTATTATTAGACAGCCTCTGGAAATACATGATCTGATCTGCAGGACTGAAAGGAACATGGACGTCTCAGAAAACACTCAGTCTGAGCCGTCGGTCTCACGGGGCGAGTGGATTTTATGGCTGTGATGCTGTACTTGTAACTGTCTCCACACATCAAGCGCGTCACGTTTGAAAATAGACGTTTGTTTACAGGTATCTAAAACGGAGGACAAACTGATCATGTCGGTGTGTGGATGCCTCGAATTATATGATACTTTTTCTTTCAATTGCTGAAATCTGAGTAAAAAGGAGCTCGCCTAGAGGAAAGTGAGTGAGGAGGTCGGATTACCTGTTAAATTGTAAAAAAGAACCTTTGTCTATCACTCAATCCAACCGGTTGAATTGGCAAGGATTACCGTTGAAATCACAGTTGACGCGCGAATGAAGCGAATCAGTACTCTTCATTCGCGCGAATCAAGCGAGTAGATGATTTTACTCGTGCTTGGTGTGAGCGCCCTATAAGTTCTTAGAGCGAATACTGTCGGTGCCATGATGATTACTAAACCCTGAATTTGAGACAATCTCACTTTTTAAAAGATGCAATAAATTCTCCATAAATAAAGAAACAAAAATCGACTTTGAGCGTGAAACTCTGAAACCACAGAAACAGCTGTTTACTTTAGGAAGAGACGATAATTACTCCATCTCAAGTTGACTTCTTCCAGATGTTGGAAGCTTGTAAACTTCACGCCGTATAGCATCGTTTTCTTCTTTCACCAAGATGGTGATACAGAGAAAAAACAAACTCTTTAACTTTCTCCCCTGAACTTTCTTCATCAACTCACCGGGTCTTATAAATTGGTCTGCATGGAGTGGAGAGATGAAGCGCTTTTTTGGGGTGAATCTAATCGTCTCTCTCAAGTCAGAGGAGATTGATGAATCCTGGTCGAAGGAAAAGAAAAGATCCATTTCAAATAGTAATAGTGGTCGGGGCTGCGTTTACACACAACGGAGAGCTTATCTGGAGCTCATCTCTCAAAGACTCTCTACCTGCTGGGTTTGTTATTAGTTTGGGAGAAAGTGGAAGAGATTAGTGACTTGCATGAATCCAAGAGGGGGAACTGGTGAGCTGTAACACCAGATGTTCGACTTTGTACCTGTGGAAGCTGAGAAAGGTGTGTTTCTGCAAAGGTGTACTAAAAAACAGCTCTCTTAGATGCTTTAACTGTAAAAAATAAAGATTAAAAAGTGCCTTCTGAGTGGATTACCTGTTAAAAACTTCCCTCTGGATGCCCTTCTATGATATTTAAAAAGTTTAGCAAAGGTGCTTCAATGATTTCAGATATTAAAAGAGCTAATCTGATTTTAAAAAAATGAAGAAACGTGCCCTCTGAATACCTGTCCTATAAAAACAAATGCTCACAGGATGCCCCTCCTGTATATCAAACAGATGAAGTGCGTATAGGATGACTTTCTACCCTCTGAATGTCCTTGTAGTCATAAAATTTGGGAAAGATGCCCTAAGACTACTATGGAAGAGGATTAGGGCCACTGGAAAAAAGTCAGAATTCTGACTCTAATCTCAGAATAATAATTACAAAATATTATATCTGACTTTTTTCCAGTGGCCCTAACCCTCTTCCATAGACGACCCTTCCTGTAAATCCAACATAAAAAAACCTCTGGATGTCCTTCCTGATAAATTAATCTTGAAGACTGTCCTTAAATATCTTGAAAACAACTCTCTGGATGCACTTCCATCATATTTAGTACAGAGTTAGTGTGTTCTCTGCTTATGCTTCCAATATATCCATTAAAAAAAAGTGCTATCTGGATGCCTTTCCAGCACATAGAATTTGGAAAAACTGCCCCCCTGGATGCCTTTATAGTCAATAAAATGAGGGAAATGCATGCTCTGAATACTCTTCCAGGATATCAAATGCATAAAAAGTACCACCTGGATGCCCTTCCAGTATATAAAGTCTAAAAAATGCTCTGATTGATAAAAATAACAGATTCAATCTTACTACAAAGCGGCTCAAACATAGGCAGTAGCATCAGTTTGTTTGTTTATCGTCATTAATTTCAGGTCTTTTTTTTACATAATTACGTAAATATTGCACACATTCTCTGGAATTAAATGTCTGATGTTTAAAAGTTCACAAAGGGAAACCCTAAAACCTCCTTTTCTTTCATTTTTGTGCCTTGATGGAAGGACGCCGCTGGTTTGCCATTACTCTGATCTTGAATTCTCCTTCTTCCATCAGTTTACGGCGGCATAGTTCAGATCATTTGGGTCACCAGTAATCTTTAAATATATGTGTTTGGCGGGGGATTTACAGGGTTTTCCCTCTAATGTGTTCTTTCCGTCCTGCTTAGCGTCGACTCTTCATGACTGTGTGCAGATGTTGCGCCTTCAGCGGCCTTAAAGGAGCTGAAGTTCCTCTGCTCCTCTTCCACTCTCTCTAACTTTTACTCTCTGGAAGCACACTGTATAATTTTCTCCAAGCCAGCCGCGTCTCTATTTTTTCCAACCGCTAATTAATTATAATTCAGCAGTTTGATGCAGTCAGGCCAGAAGAATGCCGAGGCCTCGAGTCGAGTTTGGAGGAGAGGAGGAGGAGACTGACAGGGGGGTGGAGGGGTAGAGAGACGGATGGAGGGAGAGAAGGAAGGGGGGGCGTCTGTGGTTTCTATCTTGCTCGCAGGCCCGACCCATTGAAGGGATTTAATTACGTGTATGACTAAAAGTCTCAGCGGCGGAGTCAGAACACACTGCTGACTGCAGAGGTGTGACCCATCACGCCGCAGACAATTACCCGGGCTTGTCTAACCTCCAGCACTTCATCGCTGCAGTCCCATGTTGGTGTTTGACTGAATGAGCAGAGCCGGGGGACGACATGTCAAATACAACAACAACAACAACAACAACAACAACAACAACAACAAGTCCAAGTCCTGACACAGCTAAAAAAAAAAAACAAGAGTTCAAGCATGACTCAGCATTTTTCGAGCTCCGGCTCATTTGTATGGTGGCCCTGAGGTGCAAAACACAACAGCAAAAAGAGAAAACAGAGCGGCAAACTGAAAAAACACAAACGGCAATAAGAGAAAACACAAACAGCAAAAGAGAAAACACAGCGAAAAAAATCAGAAAACACAAATGGCAGCAAAAAGAGAAAACACACTGCGAATCAGAAAACAAGGAAAAAAAGAGAAAACACAGTGGCAAATCAGAAAACACACGGCAAATCAGAAAACACATCGGCAAAATCAGAAAACATAATGACAGAAGAGAAAACACACCATCAAAAGAGAAAACAGCGGTAAAATCAGAAACACAATGGCAAAAGAGAAAACACAATGACAAGAGAAACTCTTAAGTCTTGTCAGTTTGAGTCTTTTGTTCTAGTTTGAACTGAATCAGGATTAAATTCAGCCTGTAAATACGCCATCTCGGATTAAAGGAGCGATAGGTGACTGAAATAAAGAGAGGTGGCATGCAGTTGGTTCCCCAAAACAGTACAAGTTTTTATAAGTTTGTACAAAGTCCTTATTGTTTGCACATTATGAACTTGCTTCTGTTAATTTTTTATGAACTTGCAACACGAAGGGTCTTGAAAAACAGAAGTGTAGACATGATTAAATGATTTAAATCTTTTACGTCCTGCTCCTCTAAAACATTAGGAGGGAAATATACGTCAGGAGTCGGACTGGGCATCAAAGATTTACTCTATATTTGAAATTAAGTAAGTCTGGTTATATATTTTACTGCACTGACACCTCTTCTGCTCGCCTCGTCTGCAACCTACAGCTTAGAAGAGTTCGCCAAATGTTTCACCCAACAGTCATTAGCAATCTGTGCTGAACTCCATCATTAGGTGTTCTGATTGGAAAACTGGGACCAGTCTTCATTAGGTGCTACACTGAGAGCCGTACAGCAGCTGTAAGGCTTAATAATGAGCTCAATAAGCCGGGGCTGAAGGTAGATAAAAGTTTAAAATTTAATTTCATGCATCGTGCAAACTTTGCTTTTCAAAAAAAGAAAAACACGCTCGTCTCTCATTGAGGATGTCGAAAACGCACAATTTGCAGCCCAGAAGTGGCTTTTCAGAAGTCTGTCATCTGCAGCATGAAAAATAGAAGTCTGTTGTGTTCGCCGCAAAACAAACGTCAACAGAAAGCTGGGAAATTACAAAGCAGTTTGACTCGAAGATATATCAACTTTAAACTTCAATCTGTCATTTTTAAAAGATCGCTTTGAGTCCTTTGAACAAAAAAAAAAAAAACATTTCCCATGTTTGACATTTTTGCGGCGATGCTGCGTCTTTGTTCGTGCGCTCAAACAGCCTCAATAAAAAACCTCCTCATTGATTCAGCAGACGGGACTCCGCGCCTCAGCCTTCAGAGTCAGAGGGCGGCTTACGTAGGCCTGTGTGGGTGGTCCAAGTGTTCTGTCGTTCAGGCCGACATGAGGCGGCGATGTCATCACGGCTGCGTCTGAACCGGGGTCTACACACATCAAACATCGCACACTCTCAGGGTCTGAGGGTGGGTGTGATTTATGAACACTTTCAATATGTTCCAGAGACGTTTTCTGCCTCAGATTTTCACAGAGAGGAGCATCAGCCCCGCCACCATCGGTGACTGGGACGCATTCAAGCTTGCAATACACATTATTCATTGCCTGCTTTGTGCTCACGAGAAAAGAAGAGCACCAAAGCAGAACTTAACCGCGGGGCACTCCGGTCGAAACGCTGCGAGACTTTAAATTGTGCAGAAGATTCTGTTATGCTAATATTTTGCAATGCTGAAGTGAGGGTCTAATCAGACGCCAGCAGGGCTTTTGCTTTGCCAGGCTGTGTGTGTCGTCTGGGAGGAACTGAGGAATCAAAACAGCAGCAGATGTAGCCTGGCATCCCTGCAGGATGATGGTCTGCATGGAAAATGACTGGACAGACTGGGATTTCCCACAGAAACCAGTATTTTCAGTATGGAGAAGATCATCTGATCCACTGAACTTTTAAACTTTGAGAGTGACCCTTAAAAATCATACTGGGATCTGTTAGGTCCATGCAGATGCTTTTGAAACTCATAATTTAGCATTAAGCATGTTTGATTTGTGTGTTTTCTACACATTCAATTGAAATACAGCAATAAAAACATATCAAGTAGCATCCAAAGCCTTCCAAAACATCACCTTATCTGCAAAGCAAAGCCAAATCTACATTTAGATGTCCAAGCAGCAAAAATTAAGAGTGAACAAATACGGTAAATGAGCATGAAAGTTCACTGAAAATCTTGATAGAAACAACAATGAAAAAAGACAACACCCAACATAATAAAAGAATGTTGTACCGCACCATGCAACCAATCAAAATCATGCCAAACAAATCACAAAAGTTGCCCAAGTATACAGCCAACAAGCAGCTAGCTGTTAGCCGCTAAGATAGGAAACAACCAAACAAACAAAGAAACAGTTAGAAACAACAATGAAAATAAGCAACATTCAACATGTTAAAAAGGAGTTTTTTCGCACAATGCAACCAGTCAACAACATGTTGAACATAGCACAGAAGCCAATACAGTAAAGAAGCCAAGGTATTCAGATAACAAGTGACTAGCTCTTAGCCGCCAAGCTAGCAAACAAACAAACAAACTGATAGAAACAACAGCGAGGGAAAAGAAACAACACCCAAGAGTTGGAGTTATATAACACCATGCAACCAGTCAATAACATGCCAAACAGAAATGTAAATGTTCAAGCAGCACAAGTGAAAAGTGTATAAATACAGTAAATAAGCATGAAAGTTTACTGCAAATCTTAGTTGGTAGAAACAACAATGAAAACGAACAACACCCAAAGAGTTAGAGGAGTAATACCACACAATGCAACCAGTCAATAACACGTCAAACAAAACACAGAAGCCATGAAACTAAGGAAGCCAAGGTATGAAGCCAAAAAGCAGCTGGCTGTTAGCTAGCTAAGCTAGCAAACAAACTGATAGAAACAACTATGAAAATGAATAACACCATGTTAAAAGAATGTTATACCACACAATGCAACCAGTCAATGACATGTCAAACAAAGCGCAGAAGCCATAAAAGGAAAGAGGCCAAGGTATACAGCCAACAAGCGGCTAGCTGTTAGCCGCCAAGCTAGCAAACAAACACCGTCTCCAGCAATCTCAGCAAATCAAAGCGCCTTAACTTAACTTAAACACAATTCCAAAGAAATGAACAGTACCTTATTCCCAAGTGTAGCAGGATGATATCCATGTGCAGATGGAAGAGTGGCTTTTGGCGCCTTTTACACCTGTGTGCCAGCATTTCTACTTTATATCCTGTTTCCTGTCAGGTGGGCCTCAAACCTGTCTTCAAAATAAAAGCCTGAACTCATTCCCGAACATCAACATAAATGAAAATCGGTTACTGAACCATGAATCAAAGGAATAAAAAACAAATAATAATATATATAGGAGTAGAAAATATTATTAACCTCGAGTGTTGTGACTCAGTGGTCAGGTGGGACACATGATCGCTTCACGCTGCAGGTTGGAGAATACAGAGCAGAAAGAGATAATTGGTTTATAGTTAAAAATATGTATACTTTATATAGATGTATTTGTATGGAAAGGAAATAAGGGTTACCCGCTGCTGACCCGCCACACACCACAGGGACCGCCTTATAATGAAGCCCACGCAGTGACCCGGGATTTTACAGAGCACACCAACACCCCAGTCTGTTTTCATTCCACCTCACCAAAATACCTTTAACCTCTGCATCCGGGAAGTTTGCACACACCCTCACCTCCTTATATGAGGCTCATTAGCTCCAAATTACAGTACATACATCTCGTTCCAGTCGAAGGTTATACGCCAATTTTAAAACTCTTAATGAGTAAGGTACACCTCGCAGTTGTTGTTCAGTTATCAAGCTTGGTTTCCAAATCCAGAGAAGTGCAGACTCCACATTTTGTCGTCCAAAACTTTCAAGGCCAAAACATATTGGTCAATGTTAAAGCGACCGCAAATCAAATTAAGTCCAAATTGAATTTTGCAAGAATGAAGGGACCCTGGTGTTTTAGTCTGGCAAATCCCCCTGATGCATTTAAGGAGCGTCGACGGATGAAAAACAGAGTCTGTTTGTTCTTATTTGAAAACAAAACTCCACCAGTGTTTGTGTTTTGTTGCCGTCATCACTTCACCAACCGCAGGCCACCCAATCTCAAGACATGCTGACTAATTTTAGAAAACAATAATACTTGGTTGAGAGTATCAGGTCTATCCTGTCTGTCAATCATCTAATTGGGAATTATTTAATCCAGTTTCCTTCAGCCTTGTCTGACTACTCTTAATGAGATGCACCTTCATCTGTAAATTTCACTAAATCTGGTTTCCATTATTATTTGGCGACCACTTTGACCCGTTTTTTAATCCACAAAAACACTGATGAGCATCCAGTAAAGAGAAGCCAATGTTTTGGTCATGGGTTACGGTAAGTCGCTGTCCAGTTATAGCTCTGAAAACCAGAATAACACGCTTTCCAAATACCATAAACACACACACACACATAGAAAACACACAGTGAATCACAGCTATAGACTTAAAACGCAGGAACCAACGCAGCTTTTTTACTCTGCCATTTTGGGGAGCAGCAGCTGTGCCGTGGGCATCGTCACCACAGGGCGGTTGTTTGCAGAGACCAGTTTAGGTTCTGTTTGTCTCCTAGTCATGCGTCTGGGCCCCTGAAAGGATTAACTCCAGCCTCATGCTGTTACAGCTCCACCCCACAGAAAGTGCTCAGCGCTGTCCTCTCAAAGGAGAAAAACAAAACGGGGGACACGACGAGCTCTGATGTCCCACTTCTTTAAAAGTGTGGACCAGGACTAGGTAGGGCTGCTCGATCAGGCCCAAAATATAAACTATCAACGTCATGATCAGACTAATTATGATTGGACATTTCATTTATGCAGTGTCATCAAAATTAAAGCCGAAACCTTGGAAATTATACGTCCACCATAACATCAAGACTTAGGTTTGTGTGTTGCTACGATAGGAAGACTGTTTTGAGAACATATGACCTGTAAAAATACCAAACTTATACCAATAGCAAAATTATTTTCAAAGAGAGGTTGAGACATTTAAAAACTTTTGACAATAGCATGAAATAATCCAGATTTTACCAAAACCTGGATTCATACATTTACAGTCTGTGTTGCTTATTTTTGATGGTCCATCTAAAGCTGGGTGAAGCCATCGTGAGAACAGCACCCTCTGGTGACAGGCTGCAGTATAGGTTGTAAATCCCACCTCCTCCAGCAATCCCTGTGGAGCAGTGGACAAACTTTAGAAATTAATTACACAGAATATAAATTTTTTTCCCCCCTGGTTGCAATGTTGACATGTAGCTACTGTCTGACTGGTTTGTGCTCAAGTCCTCTTTGTAAAAAGTTATTAGGGGGTTCATGTTTTCTGTGATTGACACTTGGGACAGCCTATGGGCATACGAAGATTGCGTAGCTCATTCGGGGGATACGCTGTTTGAGCTTAGCGTCATCAAAGCGACTCTCTCGCCGAGTGCGTACAACGCTACTGCGCAATTGGTGGTTCCAGGAAGTGGAGAAAATCCTGGAAATACCAAGAGCAATTCTGCTTCAAATAATGACAGAAGGCGGGGCCAAGTTGTCCATAGTATATCCAGTCTATTGCTGCATTCAAGTTACCTCGGAAGTCAGATTGCTACATCTACGAAAGTTACATTAAAGTTAGTGTTTGCCTTATATTCAGACAAGGATAAGGCTAAAATAACTTTCATAGATGTAACCATCTTGTTTCTGCCTCTGATTTTGCTTATTTCCAACTCGGTAACTGAAACGCTGGTAACTCTGATGTGACGTCATTTTCAGCTCCGACATCTGACTTCTGAGGGAACTCGAACACAGCATATGATTTGATCCTTTGTGAAGCGAGCTCAGAGACAGTCCTTTAATGAATCAGGCCCTGAGTGCTTTAATTCCAGTTTTTCAGGGGGGGTTATATGACGAGAATCTGCTTTTCATTTTGGAGGTTTGTCCTCAGCTTACAGACTAACTCCACCTGAGAGCTGGCTGTTAGAGCAGGAATCTATACTGAAGTATTTTTAAGATTCGATTTAACAGCAAATTTCCATCGCCAAGCTGTTAAAAATTGCAATTATGCTCGGCTCGGTCCAGCGGGGCATTTAAGGGTACACGTTTGTTTCTACAGAGACGACTTTATTCAACACCTTCACTCACTCGCACACGTGTGCGCGCTCATTTCTCTGGATTAGCAAACATGCCTCTGAGTCCTCCCTCTGTTTTTTCTTATTTTTATAGATATAAATACACGCCCAGTTAGACTGCAGTAAAACCGCTTTTATTGGGATATAAAACTTTTTTTCCATCAACACCACGCAACTGCTGCTGCTGCTGCCGCTGCACACAGGAGCATTTAGAGGCTTTCTACCGAAATACCTCCAGAGGAATTCGTTCATCGTGAATTCACAAGAATCGCAGAATCACAGCCTTCTCATTGTTTCCCTGACTCGCCTCTTTGTGTTTCGACTCTCCTGAAACCGCCTGAAGTCGTCTCACTTTCCCTCCACAGATTAAGTATTTAACCTCTGACAAGTCTGTCCTGAAGGGGGGAAAGAGTGGAAAA